GCTTGCAAGGCAGGTGCCAGAACCACTGAGCTAAATCCCCAGCCCCCACATTTTAATCTCCTGGAAATCTGTTTGCATTTGTTTTATGGATTCCATTTGTTTCCTATGTTGGGATTCCATCATGTTCCTCAGCTCCTCTATTTTTTATCTGTATCCTATCTAGGTTTATTAATCATGTCTTACACTATGGGCACAATCTTTGCTGTTATGTGAGAAATTATTTCGGATTTCATTTTTTCCAGATCCTCTTTTGTTACTAGTTCAGGGAGTCCAGGTGGTTGAGTATCAGAGTGTTCCATCTTGTTTCCCTCTGGGGTTGCTGTAAGTGATCTGGAAGTCTGGTTCTGAGGCTTGTTTACCTGTCTTCTCATTTCAACCGGGAGGTGGGAAGGAGGGTCCTGGCACCCATGCGGCTCAACTCCTCTGTGCTGGGAACTGTGGCAGGCATACCCAGAAGCCTCCTCCAGGCTGGGAGCTGTGACACACTGACCTGGAAGTCTCCTCTGGGCTAGGAGCCATGGCACACTGACCCAGAGGCCTCCTTTGTGCTGGGATCTGTGGCACGCCTACCCAGAAGCCTCCTCCAGGCTGGGAGCCATGGCATGCCAACCTGGAGGGCTCCTCCATGCTGGGAGCTGTGTCACGCCTACCCAGAAGCCTCCTCCAGGCTGGGAGCCCTATTATTAACTTTTCTTCATTCCCTTTTGGGAGAGTTGGGGGTTTCCTCCCATTTTCTTTCACTTTTTTCTGGTTTTTCTCCCACTTTTTACTTTTTTCCCTTCCAACATTTTTTCTCATCCTTCTTACATTTTTCTCCAGTTTTGGCTCTTTGTCTTCTTATTCTTGTTCATTTTTTCCAGTTAGTGTTCTCTATCGCAGTTAATTTCCTTTTACTTCTGAACAGGACCCCCATCTTCTCTGTCTTCCTTTTCATGTCCTATCTATTAATTTTTCAGATTTTGCTTTTTTACATTTCCCATTCCCCACCCTCCACTTTTCCTAGTGTAACCACTAAGCTTTGAAACTCTAATGAATATTAACTTTTCACACTTCTGTGGGTGCTGTGCTGTTGTTAGTGGAGCTGAAGCTTCTCCTTTTGGGAGGTGCTACTCTGGCTTTCATGGTCTCCATGGTGTGGATTCCTCAGTCATGTGACACCACGCAGTGTCCGCCCCTCTGTACTGGGCTCAGTGTCCACTGCCTGTGCTGTCCCACAAGCTAAACTCCTGTCATCTCTGAGGGTAAATACTATTCACTGTCTGAACCTGCTCATCTGTCAGTGGACACTGGGTTATTCCCATGTTTTGCTGCAGCAAATAATGCGGCTGCAATCATGAAAGTCAGATGTCTTGTGAAGACCCTGATTTTTATTCTTTTGGACCTGTGCCCAAACTGGGTTGGGTGAACCTTACCACAGTGTCCTTCAAATAGGTAAGTGCAGAACTTTCTCAAACAAGCTGTGAGGGAGCCCATCACCAGTAGAACTGCTGTGAGGTTCAATTTTCATTTTCAACCTCACTGCATTGAAAAACCGGAGGGAAACAAGGACAGGGCATTTGTGGGTGTGTCTGTGAGGGGTTTCCAGAGATGCTTAGCATGTGTGGCAGCCGGCTGAGAGGGGAGACCCTCCCTGAATGTGGGCAGTCCTGTCCAACAGGCTGGGGTCCTGGCAGCACACGCAGCCCCTCTCTGTCCTTCCCTCTCTCCTTTTCTCTCTCTTCTTCCGGTCCTCTGTTACTTCTATTTTACCTCACAATGGCCCTAAAAGCAGTAGAACCAGCTAGCTGATCATGGACCAAAACATTTGAAAGTATGAGCTAAAAAATAAACATTTCCTCCTTTAACTTGACTTTTTCAGGTATTTTTTCATGATAATGAAAAGCTAAAATATCTGCCTTAGATGAAATAATGAATGGAGTTCTTAACATTTAAACCAAGGGACACCACACTGCAGCATGAGGCTGGATGTGTAGCTCGGTGGTAAAGCACTTGCTCAGCATTGATAAGACATTTGATGTGTTCTGCAAGACCCAGAAATCAAAATGACAGCACAACAGAGCAACATGAAAGCATGCCTCAGGCCGAGCCTGAAGACCGTCCTTCCCCTCCTCCCTACTCCTTTTCTCCCGCATAGACTAGAGGGTCAAAGTTTGTCTGACTCATACTACAGACCCTGAATGGCACAGCCCCGGGAGACAGTGACATTCTGTGTCCTCCATGTTCCCTTTTTGCACATTCCCTGATCAAGAAACAATCACACTGCGTCCACCTTGGTCATGTAGGCCACGTAGCACTATTTGCTCCACCTTCTCTTCCTGTTTGCTTCCACTATAAATAAAGAGCGGGTGGCGCTCCAAGCAGCCATTAGCTCATCAGGCTATGGTTCCACCTGGTCGCAGCTTTCACGCTTAATCTTGGTATGTATCTTTCTTTCTTGTTATTCCTCAGTTTTCTTCATCTCCCACTGATCTCCCTGGCTTTGGACTCTACACTGTGCAGGTCTCAGCAAAAGCGTATAAAACCGTAAAACTGACTGATGAAGTAAACACGTAGACAAATGGAACACTGCTGTACAGTGATTGTGCTGTACGGATCACATTAACCCTACTGTATGAGTTAAATACAGCTCCGCTGGGGTGTCACTCAGCGGTGGAGCATTTGGCGAGCACATGCAGTTCCCCAGGTGTGACCCTCAGTACTGCTAAAGAAATTAAAGGACAAAATTACTAATAACTATAATACAAAATGTTTCAACAGATACACAACATGAAAATGCATGGATTGTGGTATAAGTAACATAGTGTACAGGAATGAGTAGAACAGAGTTTGGTATGTGCTTGAAGTTAGCAGCACAGCACAAGTGCTTTAAAGACAACATGTCTTCTGTGAGGCTCAAAGTAACCAGGAAGGAAAACTCTGTAAAAGTCACACAAGCAGGGGGAAAAGGGCTGGGCTTGACGGTATGTGCTTGTAGCCTCAGCTATCTGGGAGGCTGGGGCAGGAGCTTAACAACTTCCAGGCCAGAGCAGGCACTTGGAGAATGAAATTTCTTAGAAATGTCTTAGGAAAAACTTTGAAAGGTGCTGGGATGTAGCTCATTCAGCAGGACTAGACCTAGCAGTCCTAGCATGACTGAGGCCCTAGGCCAATCCACAGCGATGATCTTAAAATAAAATAAAAACTTATGCAGTAAAACAAAAGAAATAATAAGAGAGAAGTTTATGTAGTAATAAAAATTCCAACTGTAAAAAAGTTAGAAGGTGAAAGGTCTCAAATAACTAAATTGTTCACCTCAGAGAACTAGAAAAGGCAAATGAAGCGAGCTTGCATTTACCAGGATTAACTTTAATGATGGCAATTCAACTTGCTACTGTCCACCACTGTAACACTGCGCAACTCCTTTTTTCCTACTTTCCTGTTTTCCTCCACACCCTGTGCACCGTCCATCCCTGCTAGGCCTCTCTCCTCCCTGCACCTGAGCTGCGTGGGCTTTTCCAGGGCAGACTGAGGAATCCAGCATGAGAGGGGAAGCTGCAGCTGCTCCTCTCCTGTGGTGTTCACACTTCCATCTTAGCTCCTGCCTGGGTCATGCCACGAGGCCTGTGGGTGACAGTGTGTGAGTGAATCTGTTTTGTGCACACACAGGGAGGGGGCTCCGCGCTGACCATGGCCCCAGTGAGCTGAGAGCCCAGTGTCCGCCTGTGAAGTGGGGGGAGCTCAGCCTCCAACCCTGGCCTCCAGCCCTGGCCCACCCAGGCCCGCACAGAGGAGGGAAGCACTCTCTAATGACCTCTTGCTGCTCCCAGGCTCCAGGGCCTCACAGCTTTGGCCTTGCACCCTTCTCTATTTGAGCACCTTCATTTCTGTGTTGATTTGCACGACCCTGGTGATCTGGAAGCTTCAGAGGTTTTTCACGGACCATTCCTAAATGCTCAGATCAGATAGGGACCTGGTTCTGGCGCATACCTGGTCCCACACCATGGACCTCGCATGTCCCAAACCCAGGGCTTCCCTGCTCGGAAACTGACCATGCTGAGCAGCCCCATGTCCAGGCATCGCTGACCCTGCAGCCACTCTAGGAGTGAGGTGCAGACAGCAGCTGCCACTGAGGACACTGAGGCTCAGAGAGAGTTGCCAAGGTCCAAGCAGCAGGGACAGAGAAGGACTCCCAGGCAGGAAATGCAACTCAGCACCCAACTCAGGAAAATTCTACTCCAAGAAACCAAGGCTCTGAGAAAGTGAGGACGGCTCAGAACTTTGCTCACAGGGAGATAGGATTGAACTCAGTGGAGTGAAAAGGGAAGTTCATTCAGGGGACCGGTTAGCATAGGAAACCCACACAGAGAGTTAGGAAATGAGTCCTGTTTCCTGCCCTAAACCCATGCTTCTCATCCGTGCTCATTCCCAGGACGCAGCTCCGCTGAGCAGCACAGTCAGGGCTCAGCACATCCATGCAGGGCCATATCACTGTCACTATCGCAGCCCTGCTGTCTGGTCAGAGCGCAGTGAGCCCCTGGAGCTGCTGGGGACAGGTGAGAGGGCTCTCGGGGTCCCAGCCCCAGGCTCTGCCCTCAGGAAGGGGTCTGCTCTCAGGGGTGTCCCCCTCACAGCCCAGCCCTGGGGACAGTGGGGGAGGTGTGAGTCCCTTTAACACGCTGCCTCCTGCTCTCCTAGGAGCCCACAGCAAACCCAGCCTCTCAGCCCTGCCCAGCCCTGCGGTGACCTCAGGAGGGACCGTGACCCTCCAGTGTGGCTCACGGCAGAGGTTTAACAGGTTCCTTCTGACTCAGGAAGGAGAAGATGGGCTCTCCTGGACCCTGGACTCACAGCGAGGCCCCAGAGGGCAGGTCCAGGCCCTGTTCCTTGTGGACCCTGTGATCCCCGGCCACAGGTGGACGTTCAGATGCTACGGCTATGACAGGAACAATCCCCAGGTGCGGTCGGAGCCCAGTGACACCCTGGAGCTTCTGGTCTCAGGTGAGGAAATCACATATTTCACTCTTTTATTTTTGAGGTTCCACATACAGTACATTGCTGATTCCTCCTCCTGGGGGTGTACAAGGTAGGAAACTGGTGGAGGGAACCGTAGACACCCTGAGCAAAAACTTCAAGTGTGATCGACAGGACAGGACAGGAGGGGCAGGGCTGTGGCAGGAAGCAGCCCCTCAGCCCAGCTCCGCCTCCCCCCAGGGCTGTCCAGGAAGCCCTCCCTCCTCACCCAGCCGGGCCCTGTCCTGGGCCCTGGACACAGCCTGACCCTGCAGTGTCGCTCTGACATCGCCTATGACAGGTTCGCTCTGTCCAAGGAGGGGGAACCTGACCTCCCCCAGCGCCCTGGCCAACAGCCCCAGGCTGGGCTCTCTCAGGCCCACTTCCCCCTGGGCCCTGCCAGCAGCTCCCACGGGGGCCGCTACAGATGCTACGGTGGACACAGCCTCTCCTCCGAGTGGTCGGCCCCCAGTGAGCCCCTGGACATCCTGGTCACAGGTGAGGAGCCCAGGGCTCAGTCAGGGACCCAGACTCTGCACTGGCCCTGCTGGGGAGCCCGGGAGCTGATGGCCAGGGTGAGGGTGGGGTGAGGGAGGGAAAAGAACAGAGACAGGGGAGGGCGGGAGGGGCAGCGTCAGAGGAAACAGAGACAGACAGAGACCGAGGGGCCTCAGACAAGGCCTGGTGAGGCCTCAGCTCAGAACGAGGTGGGGCAGCCCCTCACCCCTCCTTCTCTCCAGGACAGCTGCCTGTCACAGCCTCCCTCTCGGTGCAGCCGGGACCCATGGTGTCCCCAGGAGAGGATGTGGCCCTGCTGTGTGAGTCACGGAGCCTGGTGGACACTTTCCCCCTGTCCAAGGAGGGGCCGCCGATCCCCCACTGCATCTGGGATCAGAGTCCCGAGCTCAGCAGTACCAGGTGGAATTCTCCATGAGAGCTGTGACCTCAGCCCCGGGGGGACCTACGGGTGCTATGGCTCTCGCAGCTCCGCTCCCCACCTGTTGGCGCAGCCCAGAGACCCCCGGCAGCTCAGAGTCTCAGGTGAGGACCCTGAGCCCATTTTTCCTAAACTGAAAGGGACCCTCAGGGCCCTGCTCCCTGGTACAGATCAGGGACACTCAGTATTAAGGAGACAGGAAGGGAGGTGCACAGAGGGAGGCCTGCCCTTACTGGCGTGAATGGACGGGAATTCTCCCTCCTGGGGCCCCATCCCAGACAGTACACACAGAACCGGAGAGGGAGGCGGGAGTGGGCTGTGCGGGATCTCAGGGCAGTGAGTTCACACTGAGGACAGGACGCCGAGGCCGCGCCTCTCTCCTGCTGTCCCCAGCTCAGTGTCAGAACCAGGCTGTCGCTCTCCCAGCAGCCGCCCTCCTGAGGCCACTGTCACCCAGGCCCCTCCTGAGTCACCTGCTGGGCTCTGCACTCAGCGCAGCCCTGAGACTCGGGAGAGGCCACGCCCTGCTCTCCTGGTCACTCAGGGCTCCCTGCCCAGCAGGTCACGTGTCCTCCACACTTTCTGTGCACGACGTCCACTCTGCTCTGTGTTTCTGAGAAGTTTGAAAGAGATCCACACCCATACTGGTATAAAGCCAGAAGTCAGAAACAGGAGAAACTTTTGATATTTTTCAGAAATTAGACATGGAAACTGAACCACGTGTTCTTGAATATTTAATGCGTCAATGAAGAAACTAAAAGAAAATTTTAAATGTTTATTGAAACAAAGATATTCATTATTTTAAAGAGAATCGTACTTATAGGCATTACTCTATTATGATACATATATACTCTATTATGATATATATCATATATATTAGGTATTTTACATCTTTCTCTGTTATATATATCCATTTGTCCGAATATATATTTACAATTGTTGGATGGGTTTCCTTATCAATACAGAATAACCTTCTTCATCTCCTTTTCTCTTTTTGACTCACTGCATCAGCTCTTCCTCCGGGCTTATGGTTCCTCTCTTCATGAGATGTCTTCACCATCCCCTGGATTTCAGTCTGTGTGTTCTCAAGGGGACAAGATGTCCTGTAGGCAGTGCGAAGCTGGGTTTTATTATTGGCTTCTTTGGTGTTTTCTAAAATCCATTTTTCCTTCTCTTTTTTTTTGTGGTACCATGGATCAAACTCGGGACCTTGTGATTTTTGTGGCAAGTGGCAGAACCACTGAGCTAAATCCCCAGCCTGAAATCCATTTTTCAAAAATTCATTTTCTAAAGTCCACTTTTCCACCCCATGACTTCTAATTGAACAATTGAATCCCCTTCCATTCAAGATTATTGAAGGGTTAAGCTTCCATTTCCGTTTTGTGAACTGATTTATAGTTGCTTTGTAATCTCTGGTAACTTCCTTCCTGTCTTGTCTTTTGCCCTTGTGTTTTGGTAGTGGGTTTCTCTGGTGTATCTGCTGAGACTTCTTTGTACTTAACTTGGGTCTGACTAAATAGATTCTTAGGACTATTGTCTTATTTTTAAGACATCTAAAATTTAAAATTTTCACTTACCTGAGATGATATTTCAAGTTTCATTCATAATAACGTGTACAAGTTGTAGTTAATTTTATTATTTTTTAAAATTTATATATTTATTGGTACATTTTAGGTATACAGTACACTTACATTTATCATTGGGTGTTTGTACCTGAACATGATGCATCTTAGTTCTTATTTTTCCCCCATTACCTGTGCACCCTTCAACCCTCCACCCTTCCCTATTTACATAGACTTTGTTTCCATTTTTTTTCTTTCTCATAATTTTTCCTTTCCCTTCTTCCCTTTCCCCTTCCCCTCCCA